GCAAGGACATCAGGTTATTTTGAATCACCCTGTATATCTCATTAAATAAATATTTAAATAATATAAACGTAGTTCAATGCGTTTAACCTTTTGAAAACAATAAGTGCGTATATATTCCGCGAATACAATCGATGTAGCCGACGAACTCATATTAACATTTGGCGCAAACAATCGATGTGGCCGATGGATATACATATATGCAAAATAAAATTTAATAATAAAGTACAATCAACAGTATTGCATTAATCTTTGGCTAAGGCTAAATAGGACACAGAGCTATATCGCTTTACACAACTCTGTCGCGAAACACAATTTAACGAGTTTAGTAGCGCGATCCGTATTTCATTATTGCTTTTCTTATGTATTTCTTATCGTATCTATGTTAGTACAAAATAGTATTTGATAATGCTGTATCAAAGAAAGAAAATTATTTTGTCCAAAAATATTTTATGTTAATGTTTTATCAACAATTGGTTTCTTAACTATAGTGCATTCCTCACAATCGTGCGTAATATTGTTATCAAACATTCTTTTGAGACAAAAAATAAAAATAAATGAAGACATTTTGCTTTGTAAGAAAAAGATATTCAATGGTTTTTCAATGTGAGGTAAAAAAAGATAGTCATAATAATAATAATATTTTATTCCGAAAAATCGTTTAAAAGGAGGTCGAAAAGTTAAGAATCATATTATTGAAATTAATTAATATATAAGGCTCTAGTGATTGACGAATCAAATAAAATCAATAAGGAGCGTAAAGAGCCACAATGCTAGTTCTTCGTGCGAAGGTTATAGAATATTCGTTTAAAATTGTTTACATCAAACGTTTTGGCCTTCTCAGTGTACAATATAAGAATTAATAAAAAAATAAGGTTTGCTCGCGATGATTACATAAAATAAGAGATGTGGAAGACGTATTTGCAATCCTTTTTCAACCAAATTGTTGTTTGGTAATAAAATAGATAGGATTGTATTAATTTCATGATGGAAAAGCGCTCGCCCAAGTAGAAGGAACAAGATGG